GGTTGCCACACGTTAGACCAATAAATATTTACTAAACTACATCGAATAATATCTATACGAAGAATTACAGAATGTACTACATACGTACGTACGTAGTACGTACAGCAATTATACAATCATTTGATAATTTTATTAGCCTCTATATTAAGTTATAGATTTTCACATAATTTATTTATAGATATAGATGATAAAATAATAAATTTCCAAGACCAAATTTCATTGTCAGGCCAATTCTTTGAGAGAAACAAAATCAACTCGAACAATATTATGGGTCACTGTTTAAGTAAATTTGCACCATGTATATTCAACAAAAAAAGCACTACCGCTCAAGATGAAGAAAATACAAATGATCAAAGTGCATTTTTTAAGTTTATTGAAGGCAGAAGATTTCACAATATCGATGGTGTAAATTATCCATTACCTAATGACGATGAAGAATGTGATAGATTACATATTCAGCATTTCATGTTTAGGTAAATGAGATCTGATTCATATTTAATCAAGCTTAAACGTTATTTTTATTATTATGATTGTTATTATTATTATTGTTAGACTTAATAAGTTTTTATTAACGAAACATAGATATGTATGGCAGAACAATTTTTCTTCACCTGTTGGTCATATTTTAGAAGACTCTAATAAAAATGCTCAAGTTCTCGACATCGGGTATGCGAGAAATTGTTGAAGTTTTTTACTTACATTATTTATTATATTCTTACATCATAAAATATCATATATAATATTACTAAAGTTGCGGTGCAGGTTCATGGATACTTGAAATGGTATACTATATTTATTAAGATTTTTAATTATATAAAACTTCGTAACTAAATTCTAATTACTTTAGGCAACAAACTACCCACATGCCAAATTCATAGGCATAGACATAACACCACATCAACCTTTAACAATTAAACCACGTAATGTTTCATTTATTCAGGCAAATACATTCGATGAACTTCCATTTGAAGATAATGTGTTTGATTTTATATATCAACGATTGTTATTTGCTGGATATCCGGAATCAAAATGGCCATATGTAGTAAATGAAATGGTGAGGGTATTGAAACCTGGAGGATATTTAGAAGTACGTATAAACTAGATGAGATGAAACGTATTATATGAATGATAACTTTATTATGAAATATAAAACATAAAAATTATTTTAAAGTTGACAGAATTAGATCCATCAGTGAAACGTACTGGACCTGCTGGAACGCGTCTTTTTGCGGGGTGTAATTATTCTAATTATTTTATCTATTATATTATTTATTTAACAAAAAAAAAAAAACAAAATAGTTAATACGTATAAAATTTATCGCATTTATTTCTATAACCAAGTATGCACTTTATTGGATAAAGGTGGAGATTCAAATGCGTGCTATAAATTACGAAAATATGTAACGGAACAGGGATACCTTGAAAATATAAATGAAGAAGAAAAAAATGTATACTATGGCAAAGAAAATGGAAGGCTTGGAGAAGTGGTAATTAATTATTAAAATTCAAGTTAAATAATAACTGATATTAATGTCTTGTATATTTTAGTCGGTAGAAAATTCCATGCGTGTAATGAGAGACTTGAAGACACCAATGATGAATATATTACAGGTATCTTCTGAAGAATATGATGAGATTTGCGAGACAACAACAGAAGAGATAAAAGAATTAAACTCTTATTATCCCATGATTCGTGTTTATGCGAGTAAAAGCTTTGAAACAAATGAAATTAATTCTAATGCAAATGAAATTAACAGTTAATTCTAATTCTAATTAAGTTTATTTTTGTTAAAATTTGTTCAAAGCTAATACAATAGATATACATTCTTTTCTGATTTTTATAATGTAGCATAAAGTTATATATCTTTTTCTTTTGTTTTTAAATCCGTAAAATATTTGGTACAAGATTATTAAGAATTGATGACAGGATAATTTATTGCCCTGACAATATATCATCAAAAAATTATGCATAAACAAATATGCAACTAATACATTCATTGCACATGTTAAGCTAGATTATGTGATTATTTTCAAGTAATAGGCATTTTGAAGAATTTCTTTGAATTCAAATAAACTCATGGTGTATTCATGCGATCTAAGATCTTTATAGAATTTGCCTAGAAATATTGTTTAGAAAAAGCCATGTTGTACGAGTCATTTACTTATTCCTAATTATGATTTAGAATTAGTTGCCTGAAAAAATAATCAAGATAGAGATTTACTAGCTCATTTACGCATGGAGTTGCCACAGGATTATTTTACATCCGAGTGATGCAAACATATTTCTGATCTATTTCATTTTTGATAACGCTATTTAATATAAAACAATAATTAGAATCCAGGTCTCTTATAAGGTTAAATATTAAATGCATATAACTTTATTTACATAAGATTTCTGTTTCTTTGTAAATAAATATAATTTAACGGGCTTGCCCTAGATATTTAAATTTAATTACGCTTCATGCTTTTTTAGGAGTTAAATCGTTGTTATAACTTGAAAGCCCTAAATCTAGTTTTCTTTTAGCTATATTTCTGGTAAAGTTATATTAAGAAAAAATAATTTATGATAATAGTGTGTGATTATAATCATTACAAAAGTAAATCAGCAGTGTAATAAGCTACAGATTCAACCGTTCGTTTTGTTCATTTTGACAAAAAAAACCTCTTTACCCAAGCATTACATAAGAAACCGCCTTTTATGTACTAATAAAAAATATTCCTTGATTACTTTTACTATATGCTCTTCATTACCAAACGTCAAATATAACACAACGAATTTCATAAGTGCGTACTGTAACAAATAGATTATTGAATCTTCGTTATGTACATATTATTTTTTTTATTTCTATTTCTTTTATTTTATTTTTATTCTATTTTGTATATATAGTGATAGATGATTATGTAGATC